ACAGACAACAAGATAAACAAGAGACGGGTAGGGACAATACAACAGACAACTGACCCATCCCAAGCAGATTTGCTAACGGACGGGTTTTCATCGAAGATTGACAGGGACAAAGATCCACAATTAGCTGTGCCTCTAGCGGCGGCTATAAATCATCACTGAAAAATAGGCGCTGCAGCTGTAGGTATAGCCTGGATTCCCCATTCCCATCAAAACATTCACATATTCCTTCCCTTCCTGTTCCGTTGTTCATGCCCCAGAATCCCATCCCGTCCATAGAAATAACAGTACCGCTGCTGGTGGTTGTCTTGGCGGCCTACATCGACTCAAACGGACACAAGGTCAACTACCCAGTGACGTCATCGACGCAAAAAATAACGTTCTGGCCCTGTACCTCCCTCCTCTCTCTCTCCCTCCGTCGAGTCAAAGTCCCCGGCGATCGATCGACAGCGCAGGGCACGACACCCCAATACCAAAGAAAAGAAAAAACAGGAACCCGCCAGTTGCCAGGGCAGCGAAAAAATAAAATAGGGTGTGGAGTGCTCGACGACGTTCTCCCGACGCCATCGACAACAACCGGAACAACGTACCAGGACCGGATTGGTAGTCTTGATTGTCGACTCGCCCATGAGGTCCACCACAGTTTGAGCAGGCACTACAGTGCCTCGTGTGGCTGCCGCAACGCTCGCCAGCATCTTCTCGTTCTGCTCCTTGACGGTGCCCCCGCCTTCCTCGGCGGGGGCTCCGTGGCCGAAGCCCATGAAGTGCAGCCTGCGCGCGCGGAGAGAAATATTGGCCACAAATAACCAACAGACCAAACAGGTTAGTCGCACCGCCCAGCGACGTCAACTTGTAAACAATCAAACACGCACCCGTCTCTGTTTAAACGTCGGGCATGTTCATGCCGCAAACATGAACCATATTTACAGAAGGTGCCCTATACACAGTGTTTTTGGGGTTTTCGGAGGATATTGGTGATTCTGGAGGGCAAGGGGAAAGACAGAGGGATGAGTCACTGATATTATGGAGAAGGCATCGAAGTTGTTGCGCGTCAAGCCTGTCGGCGCCGTCCCGTGTGGCGCCGTGTGGCGCGGCGATCCCACGCCAATTTCATCGCACTGGTTGCACACTTTGAGCGTAGGATACACAAGATAGCACCCCCTCCTGGACCGATTGCTACAGCTCGACTATAACTCCACAAAGGCTACACAAGGTAACACACATACCCTGGACCGGTTGATACAGCTCGACAACCGTATAGTTCACCTACGCCAAGAAAAAAACCTTCGTCGTTGAAGCAAATGGAAACCGTCGACAGAGAGTCAGACACCTCCTCGAAGCCAGTCAAGAAAATCTCCGAAGCGACGCTGATTGGCAAAGCTTTTCTACTGGGCCGACCACGCTGTTGGCAAGACCTACCAGCAGTACCTGTTAGGCAGCGGCTGCGGCATGTCAGCTGGAGAAGTTTCGGCCCTGGACCAGCCGGCCCAATCACAGCAAGTCTCGCTTGGGAGCGTGAGTGCGACGGCGGACCAACGTTTTAGGTGGGCGCTCCCGAGGCCGGGAAACTCGTACCGAGTCCTTCGTACCACCCTCCAACAACCACCTACCCTACGCGATCTGTTCGTTTCATTAGTCCCCTCGCCAACCATGGCAAACTCAGCCACACTACTGAAGGGCTGTTCGAAGTGTCGGGGGAGAGTTTCCGCGTCTTAACTAGTCACGCAGAGAAACATGAGTGGATTTGGGCGGGGGCGGGGGAACGAAGACAAATCGATAGGAGTACATACATAGGTGCCCGGAAAGCGCCCACGTTCAGGCCAAAGACAGGGTTCCATTTGGAAGGCCCAGCCACACAAAAAGTGCGCGTGTTGCGCTTCGTTTGGACCTACCGACACTCCATGGTTGGGTCCGTGTACATGCCGACGATGTCGCCGAGCTGCGAGACCTCCGCCACAGGGGTGGCCGCGTCCGTCAGAAGGTACACGTGCCGCATGTACTTCCTGTCGCGTTCCCCCATCAAAGCAAATACCCTATCGGTTGGTATGGCGTCTCTCGTTAAGGAGTAAGGCATGTTGGCATACCACCGAGAAGACGTGTGGGGAGAAGTAAAAACCACCGGGTTTACAGCAACGATCCAGAGTTGTGAATTCACAGTTAATGGCAGCAACAACAGTTTCGAGGAGGTAAACAAACCACAAACGCAACGCAACTCCTCACTTCTTGAGGGTCCGGGAGCGAATCATGTGCATCCCGACCACCATGGCGTCCAGCAGGTCGCCCATCGCCGGCTCGCCGGAGTCCGGGATGTCCATCGCTTCCACTTTGCGGAGGACTGCCACGCTGCCCTTGTCAAGGCTAAAAATAACAAAGAAACACCACATGAAACACAAGGGATGGGGCAGGTCAGGGGTGCCGGAATCGGCTTCAAGGTTTGGGAGGGTTGATATTGGGGGGAAAGCGATCAGGTACGGTCGAGGCGCAAACGGCGCGTCAATGTTGCAATGGTACCGAAATGAGTCCGTGACCCGGAACAGCAAGTCGACGACACTCCGTTCGGAGAACCAGCGCGACAGAGCGCCCCAGCAGAGGACGATAGCAATGTAGACTAAGGGCGTTGCAAACTGTGTTCAAGAAAAGAACGAAAAAACTCAAGCCGGCGGGATAATGGGTTTTGCTGGCGTAAACGTTGGGGGGGGGGGGGGGG